TACGCTCGGTTCGCAACAAACAACTGCACCTCCCAGTCGCGAACCATTTCAACTCCCCCTCCCATTCCTCAGACGACATGTCCATCCTGGGCCTCCTGCAGTGCCACAACGATGCCACCCGAAGGTTGCAGGAACAGCAACTCATATTCCGCTTGGGAACCCTGCAGCCCAATGGTATCAATGTGGATTTCACAAGTTTCAAAATCTCCCCTCCCCCTACCGCATCCCAAAACCAGTCCAGCTCGTCCCTGCCTCCCTAACCTGTTCTTCCTCCCACCTATCCCCTCCTCCCACCTCAAGCCGCACCTCCATCTCCTACCGACCAACCTCATCCCGCCCCCTTGACCTGTCCGTCCTCCCTGGACTGACCTATCCCCTTCCTAACTCCCTACCTACACTCACCTTTCCTGGCTCCATCCCCGCCTCTTCGACCTGTTTGTTTCCTCTCCACCTATCCTCTCCTCTATCCCTCTTCTATCCGCCTCCCACTCTCTCCCTATTTATTTCAAAACCCCCTTCCCCTCCCCCTTTTCTGATGAAGGGTCTAGGCCCGAAACGTCAGCCTCTCTGCTCCTATGATGCTGCTTGGCCTGCTGTGTTCATCCAGCCCTGCACCTTGTTGTCTCGGATTCTCCAGCATCTGCCGTTCCTACTATCTCGGGTTTAGGAACCCAACTGCGTTTGTGAATATATGTATAAAGTTTATTTTTGTAATGAATATTTTGCAATAAAATAAAACCGGGCACATGGAGGAACTGAATGTTCCTTCAATGTGGAGGATGCATCGCGATTATTAAGTCAGGACTTTTAAAATTTTTTTGTATTGTGGAACCCCCTTGATAGCTTGGCTTTTTGGAAATTGGCTGCTACTTCTTGAAATTGTCGCTGTTGCAGGCGTTTCCTGGCCATGGGCCAGCTTGCAGTGTTGGTCATTAGGCAGCAAGAAGTTCCTTGTCAGTGCGAGAGCAGGTAGGAGCAGGGCAAGCTCCCAGCTGGAAAATCTGAGCAGTGCAGCACCGCCAGTGAGATGATCCTGAAGAACTGTGTGGGTTTGATAACGGGCGCGTCACAGGGGCTGGGAAAGGCGTTCGCTGAATCTCTCTTAAAGAAAGGCGCACAGGTAACCCACAAGGGCATCCCAATCCAGAACCGCTGGAGTGGGGAGCTGTAGATATGTATTTGTTGCATAGCATGTTGTATAATATGTATTTGTTTTGCCAGGCAGCAATGGTTAAGTAAATATTATTTGCCTTTCCTTTAGTAACAGCTTCGCTTTCAGGTTTTAGTAACTCACATACTGTGCTGCGTAAATACTCTCCATTCTATTACTACACCATCAATTGAGAAGTGCGTGGAGCAGGTTTTACTTTCTGTTGCAGTGACAGTGTTGAGTAGGTGGGAGAGGAGTGCTTGCTCGCTGGGTTGGAATCGACCTCAAAACTCAAGGATTATTTATCAGCCACCTTTTTCTTCCTTGTGTCATTCGTCACCCACCCTGTTTCTGGTCCCGTCCTGTTCCTGTCGATTCCAGACTCTCCTGTTCCATTCCACACTCTCAGGCTCCCAATCTGCAGACAGCACAGAGAAAGTTCAGCATTGAAACCATTCTTGTGCTTTGTTACGGACCGACTAGGTATCTTTCCTATGGGGGTGGATGAAGGGGGCCAAGGATTGACAGTGATCCAGCACATATGTTTCCTGCTCAGCACTGGGAGAGGAAGTTGTTACTATCAGTGATAAACAGATTTGTGTACTCAAACTTAGCCTGGCAAATGATATGCATTCTTCAGAACACAACTGACGACCGCCGTTCTTCCTGTTTCCAGATGGAACCTAAAGATGTGGAGGCTTAGTGGTCAATATTGATTAAGATTTCAGTAGTCTTCGTTATTAAAAAAATAGCTCTTATTACTTCATGTGATGTGAGTTGTCACTGTCAAGGCCAGTATTTATTGCCAATTCCCTAATTGCCCTTGGACTGAATGGCCTCCCAGGGGCATTTTCAGAGGGGAGACAAGAGCCAACCACATTGCTGTGGGGCTGGAGTCACATGTAGGCCAGGTTGGGTAAGGATGGCGGATTTTACCTTCCTTAAAGGGGCATTAGCCCCTCAGATAGATTTTTATAAAAGAGCAATGATGGCTGCATAATCATCATGACTGAGGTTAACTCTAGATTCCAGATCGTTTTAATTCATTCGTGTTGAAATTTCACTAGTTGCCATGGAGAGATTTGTGCCCGTAGCCCCTGGCTCTGGATAGCCATCTCCCTGAAAAGATCCACAGGCAGCAAGGGGTGCCAAGGGGTTAAGGAGGGGAAGAAAGCTGACAAGGAGGGGTGAGGAGTTGGCAGGAGAAAGAAGAAGGGATGGGAATCAACGGTGGAGGGGGCATAGGGTAGTGGGTTGGCTCGGAGAGGCTAAAGAAGTGTGCAGAGGAGATTGGTGGATTAGGAAGGGAATATTGGAGAGTTGGGAAGAGGATGAGGTGTGGTCACAGGAGCCAGGTATGGAAGGGAGAGTGAGGAGAAGAAGGAAGAGGAAAGGGAGAATATCAAGGTGAAGGGTGATAGAGTGAGGGGGAAGGTTGGAGTAAATGAAGGGGTGGGAGGTGGCAGGGAGGCAGAGAAGGCTTGAGGGGAGTTGGGAAAAGTGAGTGGAGTGTTAAAGAGGAGGCAAGGAAGGGAGATGGAGAGGCTTTGGAGTTATATCACACTACTGATGGAGATTTTCCAGCTTGATATAGAATGATTGAATATTGTAGGAGCAATTATTTTACTGGGAAGACAGCTGATCTGTTCTAGTAATTGTTATTTTCTCTGGTGGGAGATGAAGGACAATGGCAACATAATCTTAAAATTAGAGCTGGGCTATTAAACCTGGAACCCTAACTCCTCAAAAACTGGGCTCATTGATATTTACAAGACTGAGATCTAACAGCTGCCATTTGGTCAGAGTATCAAGAAACAATAAAGGAAAGTTGGGGTACTTGTGGATGAAATGCAGTAAGTTAGCACACAGGTGCAGCAGGTAATCAGGAAGGCTAAGGAAATGTTGGCCATTGTTTCAAGGAGGTTGGAGTATAAAAGTAGGGAAGTCTTACTGCAACTGTATAAGGTGCTGGTGAGACCACATCTGGAGTACTGTGAGCAGTTTTGATTACCTTAATTAACGAAAGATATTGGAGGCAGTTCAGAGGTGGTTCACTAGTATGATCCCTGGTATGGATGGATTGTCTTATGAGCAAAGGCTAAACAAGTTGGGACTTCACTCTTCAAGTCCCTTTGTATTGCAGCTTTCTGTAGTTTTCCTTCTTTTAAGTGATACTGTTCTTTTTTTCTCCATTCCAAAATGATTAGCTACACACTTTCCCAAATTATACTCCATTTGCCAATATTTGCCCGCTTACTTAACCTATCAATATCTAACTGGAAGAGCATTTTGCAGACTGTGATCATAATTCTGTTAGATTCAAGATTGTTATGGAAAGAACAAGGACATCAAATACTAAGGTGGAGGGGGTCATGGGGGGATGGGTTTAAGGTGAAAGGGGAAATGTTTAAAAGAGATGTGTAAGGAAAGATTTTTATACAGAGGATGGTAGGTGCCTGGAACGCACTACCAGGGAGGTCGTAGAAGCAAAGACGATCGCAATGTTTAAGAGACACTTAGACAGTCACATGACCAGGCAAGGAACAGAGGGATACGGATTAGTTTAGATTGCTGTACTGTTCTATATTATGTAAATGAGTTTAAGGTACAAGTCAGTCATGATTAATTGAATGGCATCAGGAGATGGTAATGTCACTGAACTAATTCTCCAGAGGCTCTGTCTATTAAAATGTTAAAATGCCTCCACAGCAGCTGGTGGATTTTACATGCAATTAATAAATCTAGGTAATAAAGTTAGTCTCAGTGATGGTAACCTTGACAATTATCTTTATGTTGTAAAAACCTGTCCCCTTTAGGGGAGGAAATCTGCCATCACTACCTGGTCTGGCCTGCATATAATTCCAAACGCACAGTAATGTGACTGAACCTTAAAGGACAATCAGGGATGGACAGTAAATTCTGGCCTTGATTTCAACAATCAAATACCGTTAAAGAAATAAAATGCATTATTTTGAGGAACTAAATGACTCACTCCCATTCCTAGTATTCCTCAAAATATAGACATCTGGCATAAATATTATTTGCTTACGTGATGCTCTTCTGGTTGAGATATATTCTCAGGCTAACTGCCTATTCATTTCTTTGATACGGTGGATGGAGTTTTGTGGCTGAGCATAAACATACCTGATTACGCGGTCGTCTAAAAGTGGAATGCACAATCATAGGAAATAGGAAGTTAAATACATAGAAGGTATTTTGATTAATATGATTATTAAATGGTCGTGAATGTACAATTAACCACAACTCAGATGACATCAGATAGCCCAGGGGATTGTTTAGTGACAAGAGTTATTTGAGGTTTGTACCTTCAAATATTGGTAGATAAGGTACTTAGTGAAATAATTAATGCTCCTGGTAAATGATAGACTGTAATACGTTGCACAAATGCAGTAAAAAGTCAAATATATTTAATTCAAAAGGACAGAATTTGAAAGCAAATAAGCTGAGAGGTTTGGTACGTGTTCAGTTCAGAGTACTGAATAAGGTATCAATCAGCTGGTTGTGTACATCATGACTATAAAATGCAAGCATTAGAAAATTTAGCTAAATACTTGATACTAGAGATCTAATGCAATAATGTTTGACAGGAAACTTCAAAGTAAAGCAATCAAAGGGAAGAAGTTAGCCACAGGAATCAATATTTAAAAAAAGAAATGGGGTCTCAAAATGTTTTGTCCTCTCTCCATCATCTTAATGGGAGAACTGTAAAGTCACCAGAGAAATGAGGTAAATGTCCACTTTTAGCCAGTTAGTCTGCTTTCGCTGAGTATTTGACAGAGAACTAAAATAGAATTCCAGGCTGTTTTCCTTTAGGTCAAATTCTGGTCAGCTGATTTTCCATTCTCTTTGCTCCCTTTGGCTTATGCAGCAATTAACTGTGGGTCAATGGAGAGAAAAAATGATATTTACAAATGATCTCAGGATTTCCCAAAGCACTTTACTGCCAATGAAGTCATTCGTTGTCGTAACATGGCCAATTTACACACTGCAAGCTCCCATCAACAGCGATGTTTATAATGTTTACCAGATAATCGATTTGGTTGAGGAGTAACTTTTGGCTGGGTTACTGTGGAAAACTGCCCTGCCTATTTTGTGCAACAGTGCGGAGAGATATTTTACATGCACCTGAAAGGACAAATGGCACTCATTTCAACATCTTACCTAAGGAATAACATCTCCTCGCGTGCAGCACTCCCTCATTACTGCAGCCAGTGTTAAGCCTTGCACTGGATATTAAGGTAATGCAGCAATCAATAATCTGAACTGTAACTTGATGATGAGACAACAAGGTGCAGGGCTGGATGAACACAGCAGGCCAAGCAGCATCATAGGAGCAGAGAGGCTGACGTTTCGGGCCTAGACCCTTCATCAGAAAAGGGGGAGGGGAAGGGGGTTCTGAAATAAATAAGGAGAGAGTGGGAGGCGGATAGAAGATGGATAGAGGAGAGGATAGGTGGAGAGGAAACAAACAGGTCGAAGAGGCGGGGATGGATTCCCCTGCTACCTGCAGCCTCCAACCTGTTCACGATTTGATTTATTGTTGTCACATGTACCTAAAATGAGTGAAAAGCTTTGTTTGTGATCAGTACAGGCAGATCATAGTCAACAAGGAAATACAGATCACAGTGCTTAGTCAGAGCAAGGCATACAAGGTTAATGTGCACAGGAGGTGCTCAAAGCAAGATCAACATTAGCAAGATCAACATTATTTAAAGTTAGAAAGTCCATTCAGCAGTCTAATAACGGTCAGGAATAAGTTGTTCTTGAAACTGCTTGTGCATGTGTTCAAGCTGCTATATCTCCTGCCTGACAGAAGAGGTCGTGGGAGAGCATGACTGGGGATGAATGGATCTTTGATGATCATGGTAGCCTTTCTACGGCAAAGACAGGTGTGAATGGAGTCCATGGATGGCAGGTTGCCTTCCGTGATGGTCAGGGCTGTGCACACAACCTTCTGTAGTTTCTTACGGTCCTGGGCACAGCAGTTGTTGTACCAGGTTTCCATAGAGAAGGGCAAGGGCAGCACAACCACCTACAAATACCCCTCCAAGCCATACACCATCCTGGCCGGGAACAAAGTTGCCATTTCCATCACTGTCACTGTGTTAAAATCCTGCAACTCTGTTTGCTCACAACATAGATAGGATGAATGCGTATAGTCTTTTTCCCAGGGATGAGGAATTGAAAACTAGAAATCATTGGTTTAAGGTGAAAGGATTTAAGAAGGACCTGAGGGGCAACTTCTTCATGCAGAGATGGAATGGGCTGCCAGAGAAAGTGGTTGAGGCAGGTACAATAGCAACATATTAAAAAAATGTTTGGATAGGTACATGGATGAAAAGTGTTTGGAGGATTATGGACCAAATGTGGGCAATTGGAACTAGCTGAGTGGGCACCATGGTCAGCATGGACCAGTTTGGGCTAAAGGCCTGTTTCCATGCTGTATTACTCTATACCTCCAGGACTCTATAACATATGGTAGGTATCCCATCGGAAAGGCAGCATCTCTAGCAATGAGCACTCTCTCGATGGCTTCAGTCTAAATATTATGGTCAGGTCCTGGCGTGAATAATCAGTAGACTTGGAGGTAAGAGTGGTAACCATTTTCTACAGCTATCACTAAAGGTGCTGTAGAACCGCAAGTTCTGGTGTAATTTCTGTTCAGGAAGATGGATATTTGACTGCTAAGTAAAAATTAAGATAAAGATGGAATGGTGACAGGTAGCCGACAAATGCTGAAGATCAATTTGGAATGTGAAAAAAAATGTGCAGGAGCAGCATCCTGTTTTGAGATAACTGTTAAAAAGAAATATCTTAGGAAAGGATGGTGGAAAACATAAACAAATTTTAAAAGAGACGACGTGAGATGTTTCCACTGCCATCCAAAACAGCCTTGAAAGTTACAGAAGTTAATCATTTGTTTACTAAATAATGAATGATGGAGCTTATCAGTAGCTAAGATTGCTTCCATGATGAAAAAAGAGTTGCTACGGAAACAAGAAGCTGCACATCAAAGCACCTAATATCTGCTTTTGAATAGCATTTTAATGAGTTGAGTTGGGGTCAAGAACAGAGAACAGACGTAACTACATCAGCAATGTACCGAGAATATAAAACCAGCTGAAGGGAGGCTGGGGAAGGCTGGAATTGAGGGGGTGAGAGGCAAAATATCTGGACTCAGACATGTCAATACCAAAAAGAATCAAAATAAAATAATGAAACTGGAGGCACAGGTAGGCATCAACACTGACATAACAGTTTCCATTTACATGGCACCTTTAATGTCATGAGGATGTACCAAAGTGCTTCGCAGAAACATTATGAATCAGTATTTGGCACAGAACCTCTGAAGGAGGTATTAAGCCATATGGTGGGGTGAAGGAAATCATGGACAGGCACACGGTCAGTTTTGTGGAATAAGGCTGAATTCTTGGAAGGCTGCAGGGCTGGAGGAGTTTACAGATGGTGGAGGAAGTGTGTCAATTTAAATTGTAATAGAAGCAAAATACTGTGGCTGTTGGAAAACTGAAACAAATACAGAGAACACTAGAGAAAATCAGTAGGTTTGGCATCATCTGGAGAAAGAAACACAATTAATATTTTGTGTCTGGAATGACTTTTTGTTTATTTTGTGCTTTTTGTGATCTCAGTTTGTTGTGCAGTGCTTTACAGCATATGAATTCCATTCTGAACTATAATTGCTGTGATAATATAAGGAATTTGCACCTAACAAGTTCTCATGAATTGCTATGTGTTAATGACCAGTTACTCTGGTTTGTCCAGGGGCTGTTGGTTGCAATTATGATCAGGAGTGTGTGGAGAATTTCCCTGAGGTTTCCATAAAGTATAATGGGACTTTTCACAGTCATCGGAGGAGGCAGCGTTATATCTCAATGAAAGAATGGTATCTCTGACAGTGCAGCCCTCTTCAGCATTGACAACTATTGCCTCGCTTTTTAAGTTCAAAGTCTAGGGTGTGATTATGATCTTCTACCTCAGGTTAACACTGAGAAATCTTCCAATCATTTTAAAACATTTTTCCTAAACAATAAGGTATTAGAATATACCTAACCCAGTGTGAGGAAATCTTCCAAGCACAATTAAATAATTCCTCGTGATTCAGGCAGACTGTGACATCCAAATGCAAGGTAGTTACTCAGCCACCAATAGCATAATAACTATAAAATCTAAGCAAAAAATAAATATAATCTGGTTTCTGGAAGACGCATGGTGATCACACTTGGTAGATGTTGCATTTCCAAACGCTACCTAGAGTTCTGACTTTAAACTGGTAGTTCCCTGGTATTTTGTGCATTCTTTTAAGCTGAGTTATATCACGTAATGCCCAGACATATATGGAAGTGAGTTCCTTCTCAGCCAGATGATGAGCAGTTAATACTACAAAAGGTTCAGTAAGATAACCCAAAACTGTCAATGGAATACTGCTTGGATATTTCCACTGCTCTGTATAATACCCAACACTCGTATCAGACATGACATGTAGCCAACATATCTGCTATAGTTTCTACTTCCATCATTTGAAGCAATAACCACCTGAATTCAGATTCAGATCATTGCATCAAAGCGGAATTAACTACAAGACTTGGGCAAATTCTGACACCAAGGCAGGTGAATGGTAAAGATTTTAGCCATGACTGATTGAAGGCTTGCGGGGCTGAATGGCACCCTCCTATTCCTGCATTGCATAATCTCCCTGAATCTTTAGACCTTATTTCCTTATCCAATTGGAAGAAAATACTTCATCATACTTTAGTATACACGATTATCATAGAATCCTGATAGTGTGGAAACAGGCCCTTCAGCCCAACAAGTCCACACCAAACCTCAAAGCATCCCACCCAGACCCATCCCCCTGTAACCCACCTAATCTACACATCCCTGAACACTACGGGCAACTTAGCATGGCCAAACCACCTAGCCTGCATATCTTTGAACTGTGGGAGGAAACTGGAGCACCCGGAGGAAACCCACGCAGACATGGGGAGAATGTGCAAACTCCACATAGACAGTCACCCGAGGGTGGAATCGAACTCGGGTCCCTGGTGCTATCAGGCAACAGTGCTAACCACTGAGCCACCGTGCCACGGGTTTCTTTTTATTACAGTGATTTTTTTTTTAATTGAAGAGCATATTTGTTAGGAAATTATAAAAGCATGAATACAGAATACTGAAAGGCCTGGATAGAGTGGACGTGGAGAAGATGTTTCCATTAGTGGGAGAGAATAAGACCCGAGGGCACAGCCTCAAAACGAAGGGATGACCTTTTAGAACTGAGACGAGGAGCAATCTTTAAGCCAGAGGGTGGTGAGTCTGTGGAATTGATTGCCTCAGAAGGCCGCAGAGGCCAAGTCATTGAGTGTCTTTAAAACAGAGTTAGATAGGTTCTTGTTAGTAATGGGATCAAAGGTTACAGGGAGATGCAGGAGAATGAGGTTGAGAAACATATCAGCCATGGCAGAGTGGACTCGCTGGGCCGAATGGCCTAATTCTGGTCCTATATCATATGATTTTATAGTTTTAATGTTGCAGAGTGTGATGATTGAATCATGCTTATCTAATGTTTTGTCTTCAAACTCTACATGAAGCAGAAGTGATCCAGCTAATGGTTCAAAATTTAAAGTTTTGTAAAATGACAAAATGTTATACTATTTTTATTGAAGTCGGTCAGAGATCCAATTAGCCTCAGAGTTCACTCCTGAGTGGATTTTTTGAAGCTTGCGATGGTTTACAATATTGCAACCAGGTAATAAAAAAATCCGTCGTCGATGAAACACTTCAGAGCATCCTGAAATGGGAGATGCTCTTTCCTTCTTTCCAGGGTGGTACGGTGGCTTAGTTGTTAGCTCTGCTGCCTCATGGTGCCAGAAACCCAGATTTGACACCACCCTCAGGCAAATACCAATGTGGAGTTTGCACATTCTCCCTGTGTCTGCATGGGTTTATGCTCCAGTTTCCTCCCATAGTCCAATGATGTGCAGGTTAGGTGGATTGGCCATACGACATTGCCCATAGCATCTAGGGATATGCAGATTTGGTGTATTAGTCACGAGAAATGCAGGATCACATGGATATGGTTGGGAGACATAGATCTGAGTGGGTTGTTTTTTGGAGGGGCGGTGTGGACTCAATGGGCCGAATGGCCTGTTTCCACTCTGTGGGGATTCCATGATTCTGCGGTTTGCATGAATGAAAATAAGGATTTATTTTAAGAGTGCTGATTGTTCAGTTAATCACCAATCAAGGTACCTCTTGCGGCTGTGAGGAGAGATTGGGTAGGTTGAATTGTGATCCTTCAGAGGAAGTTGAGGGGTGATTTGATAGAGCTGCACAAGGTTCTGAGGGTCCTGGATAGAGTCGATTTTATTTTCCTTGCCTTACTAGGGACCAGGGACATAGATTTAAACTGATTGGTAGTAGGATCAGTGGGGAAGTTAGAAAGATCTTTTTCAACAAAAACCAATAAGTTGAATGGACTTCGACTGTGTGTTCTAATGATTCAATGATTCTTCACCACCCTTAACATTAAATGTGCAAAGGGTTATTGGAGTAATTATTTTCTCATTTCACAATGCAGCACTGTGTTTCAATGTTTGGCATAAGGGTCTATTTTTCACCTTTGCAGGTGGTTATATGCGATATCAACCAGGCACAAGGTGAAATTACTAAAGCAGAGTTTGACTTGAGATATGGACCTGGAAGAACTGCCCTTATCACCTGCGATGTCACATCATTGCCCCAGCTGAAAGGTCAGTTGAAATATTATTTTACAATTTAAATATTTCTCATCTAAGAGCATTCTTCCAATATTTATACTTTACTTCTCTCTTTTTATGTGGTGGCACAGTGGCTCAGTGGCTAGCATTGCTGCCTCACAGCACCAGGAACCTGGGTTTGATTCCACCCTCAGGCGACTGTCTGTGTGGAGTTTGAACATTCTCCTCGTGTCTGTGTGGGTTTCCTCCAGGTGCTCTGGTTTCCTCCCACAGTCCAAAGATGTGCACGCTAGGTGGATTGGCCATGTTAAATTGCCCATAGTGTTCAGGGATGTGTAGATTAGGTGGGTTATAGGGGAACGGTTCTGAGTGGGACGCTCTGAGGGTTGGTGTGGACTTGTTAGGCCGAAGGGCCTGGTTCCACACTGTAGGAATTCTATGTAGCGTCATCATTGTCCATGGCTTATGCCGTGATATTACCGGGGGTAATATGTGGGAGTTGGTGAAGTGGCTAACTCAGTTCTCACAGCCATTGAACCAGTCACTATTGGCGCCTTTCTGCACCTCATCCTAACCATCTAGCCAAATGCACTAATAATATTAATCGTATTAAACACTAATAAATCAAACAGTAAAAAAGACGCAGTTAATACCATACGATGATTGAGGCTCCAAAGTCGCTCACATTGTTCTTGAATTATTGGAGATTAGCCATAGAAGTAAAGATGGAAATAAATTGTGCAGGAGGGAGCGATTCTCCCCATCAAATTCATGCCTGCTCAATGGAAGAACTATCCAATGAGTCACACCACCTGCTCTTTCTCGGCAAGTGTGTTCTTTTCGTGCAAGCCTCAAATTTCCTTTTGAAAACTCCTGCTCAATCTGTTTCCACCATCCTGTCAGTCGGATCATTCCAGATCATAACAAATCACTGCATCTCCTCATCTCCCACCTGGTGAGTTACACCAATTGTCTGACGTATGTACAAGAGAGTTAAGATCAGGGTCATGAACCATCTTGTGTCAGGCTTAGAAGGTGACCTGCAAGTGGTGATGTTCCCATGAATCTGTAAATAATAAAATGCTCTCTTTTATTCACTCAATAAAACCTTGTAAATGGATCCTTCATGTTTCTGCTGAACTGGTTTATTGCTTTTTTATTGGAGAGAGATACAATATTTTGCATGAAGGAAACAATTTTGTTTAATCAAAATGCTACTAAATGCAAAATCATAGCTCCTCCCTCAGCCTGATGATTGGATTTTAGGAACCTGAAATTACATTTAGGTTAAAAGCACATGATTATTTACCACCTTTGCTTTATATTTTTTTGCTTTATATATTTATACATATATTTATTCAAAAAGAACTTAAACATTTCTCATAGCTAATTGCAGAGGTTGAAAATGGAGATGCTGATTCAGCCCTCCTGGTCTGGCTGTAACAGCTTGTTCAACTTTTTAGCTTTGAGGAAGAGATGTTTGCTTAGCTATCTTCTCCATAGATGGTATTGCACTATCTAAGCACTTTCAGTATTTCACCTTTGTTCTGAATGTCAATGGTTACTGTAACTTGAGCTAGAATCAACAATAAAATGGACGGGAGTGATATCAATGATTCTAGTCAAAGTAAATTTGTGTTCAGGGCAATGGGAGGCTGGCTCTAAAGAAAATGCTTTCACAACTGATAAACCCTCACCACCGTGGCAATCATTTCATCAGTCATATCGCTTTAGTGGAAGTTGTGAATATTCTATTTTAAAAGATCCACTTCCTATTAACACGTCACAAGCAAAATATAAAGCAAAGGCAGTAAATAATCATGTGCTTTTAACTTAAATGTAATTTCAGGTTCCTGAAATCCAATCATCAGGCTGACGGAAGAGCTATGATTTTGCATTTAGTAGCATTTTGGTTAAACAAAATTCACTTTATGCCTCCCCTTTGTCATCAGCCCAGTCCAAGGCACTGTCACAGATGGGTTTCTAACTCTATTTTCTTCCATAGCTTGCATGGTGGCTCAGTGGTCGGCACTGCTGCCTCACAGCACCAGGGTTCCGAGTTCAATTCAATCCTTGGGTGACTGTCTGTGTGGAGTTTGCACATTTTCCCCATGTCTGCATGAGTTTTCTCCAGGTGCTCTGGTTTCCTCCCACAGTCCAAAGATGTGCAGATTAGTTGGACTGACCTGCTAAATTGCCCATAATGTCCAGGGATGTGTAGGCTGGGTGGATTAGTCACGGGAAGTGCAGGGTTACAGTGATACAGTTGGGGGAATGGGACTGGGTGGGATGCTCTTCAGAGGGTTGGCGTGGACTTGATGGGCCGAATGGCTGCTTCTACGCTGTAGGGATTCAATAATTCTAATTCTGATTAAATGTATTCCTGGAGGTTTCATAACATGATCTGCCTCCATGCTCCAGCATTGAGTCAGCCATCCTTGTGCCACATTGTCTTTCCCAAACCAACTGGGAAGCAGAAAGACTCATTATCAAATTAGGTGGTGTTTGACAGTTCACCAAATTGACATTTTACCCATTCCTAATATCATTTTATATCAGGTGAAGAGAAATGTTCAAAGAAAGTGGCAAAAACAAATTTGTTTTCAGTATGCCTGTGATTTTTCTCCGGTGTTGCACACACAAAGCAGTGCCTTGAAGAGTTGATCTTCAATTCCTGGGAATCAGGCCAATCCTGAAGGGTTGGCAGCCCCAGTATGTAGGGGTCTTGGCTCAAATCTTAGCATTATGAATTCAGTTCAGATGTAATCCCTCTATAATTTGGTTTAAAAAACGTGTGAGCCAGATTTAAATTTCAAAGTGACGTGAGTTAGGCAGTTTCAGAGTGATTCATGCATACTCTAATGCTAGTTTAATACATAACCTAATGCGTACCAGCATCGTTGAAGCAGTACTCTCCCTTTCTTGTAAACAGACTGACAGTAAAAACCCAACCCTGGTTCCAAAAGCAAGAATTAAATGGGGATGAGCCAGCATAGTGTAACTATATCATATAAGGGTATTTGAATTTGTGATGTTTCACTATTTTCAAAGATCATTTAATTAAATTTGATCAAAAATACTTCTTTGGAACCCCAGCTGTTTAATTTACTATCCCTTGTGAACTTGTAATCTGTAGCGCTTTTTACGAGTTATAAATCCACTTACAGAAAACTAAGGGTGCAATAAAATAATTCATCACTGTGGCACTGTAGGTCTTGTGACATGGACATGCACTTTTGCCTCTGATTCAGAGCTTTGTGTTCAGTGCCCATTTCAGGACTTGGAGGTTATGCAGGTTGTGTGTACTTTTTTCCCAACAGGGTACTTAACCTAATGCTGTAATGCTTACGTTAATACCCATAATGAGGACTGAGGGCCTTGCTGCCTGTCCCTAATTGGCCAGAGGGCAGTTAAGAGTCAACCACATTGCTGTGGGTCTGGAGTCACATGTAGGCCAAACCAGGTAGGGATAGCAGATTTCATTCTCTAAAGGACATCGGTGAACCAGATGATTTTTATTTCTGTCAATCAGCAATGGATACATGGTCAACGTTAGACTCTTATCTCTAGATTTTTATTGAATTTATTTTCCACCATCTGCCATGGTGGAATTTGAACCCAGGTCCCCAGAATATTACCTGGGTCTCTGGAATCTGAATCCAGCAATACTATTAGGCCATCCCCTCTGCTGTGACCCACTCACAGAGACATGGAAGATGTGAATAGGAATAAGCCATTCGACTCCTTGAGCCTGCTACTCCATTCTATATGATCATGGCTGATCATCGACCTCAGTAGCCTAATTTCCACCCACCACCTCCGCCCCCACCACCCCCACCACCCCCACCATGTCCCTTTAGCCACAAGAGTTATATCTGCCTCCTTCTTAAAAACTCATAATGTTTTGGGCTCAACCATTCTCTGTGATAGTTTAATTCCACAGGCTCACCACACTCTGAGTGAAGAAATTTCTCCTTGTCTCAGCCCTAATGGAGATAGGCTACAGAGATAGGGGCTGGAGAATGGGAGTAGTTGGGTAGCTCTTTCTTCATTGCTACAGACACAATGGGTTAAATGGCCTCATTCTGTACAGCAAATTCTGTGCTTCTATGATAAACCTTTGCTCCATATCCTTAGACTATGATCCTTGGTTTCATGCTCCTGCATCTCGCCTGTCAAGTCCTGTTAGAATTTTCTAAGTTTCTATGAGACCCCCTGTCAATGACAAATTGCACTATGATGGTGAGAGCTTGAGGGGCCTGAGAGGAGTGGGTCGACAATTCAAGGCAAATGAGGTAGCAGAAGAGAATGTACAGTCTGAAACGTGTCAACAGAGAAATACTCAGCTGACCATCTGCCAGGAAACTGGAAATAATTGAGGTAATCTGTTACTTGCAAATGAATGTGGAATTTCTTACTTAAGGCTGCCTATGTTCAGGAGCTTCAGCATGGGAGGGAAATGCATTGGAGCCATTGCAATGAACACAGTTTTAATTGTGAAATTTAAATCTGAATCTGAGATCTGAAATACAGTGACAAAGGTAGTAACTACCTGATTCAAATGTTTCAGCTTTGTGCATTTGTGATGACTTCTTGTATGTAGAAGTGTGTGTTAGTGTGAAAAAAGTGTTGCATTGAGCAAATTTAATTACTGTTTGGGGCGGGGGGGAGGTTAATAAATTAATGTTTTGCTTGTGTGTTGTAACTTTGAGTTTAGTGGTTGAAGAGTGGTCATTACTGAAGGTGTTGGTGTACCCTTCTCTGTAAGTCCAAATACCCCAAATATCAATAGGATTATAGAGGACGTTGTTATTATGTGACTGCATTACTTAATAATGAAAATGTAGTCCCCCGGAGCCTACAAGGGAAAAAAGACATATTTTAATCTCGGTTCCTAAATCTGAAAGATGTATTGGGAAGGATTAAGGATGGGGATTGAGTGTTAATGTTTGGGTGGGCAGGGACTGGCAGGAGGGGAATATTGAACCAGAGACCAGGAAACAGGAGAAGCACAGTACCCATGATCTTCCCACCAGACCCAGAAACAGCAGCACCTGGATTCACCTCCAAGTCACTAATTGATTACCCTCTGTTAACCTAAAACCAGGCAAAAATATGTAACAATCTCCACCTCTTGGGAAATAGGTAGACATCACGGCTGGATCAAGATGGTGGGTAAAGGAACATTCCACAAGTATTTTTGGTTTTAAAGTAAATGTCATTCCCTTTCATTAAAATTTGGCTGACAAAAGGAAAAACCCTGAAACAAGACCAGAACAAAAATTTTCACCATGTACATTATATTTTTTTGTGTGTGTGTGTGTGAGTGAGTGTGTGTGTGAGTGAGTGAGTGTGTGTGTGTGTGTGTGTGTGTGAGTGAGTGAGTGAGTGTGTGTGTGTGTGTGGTATGGGTATGTGTGTGTGAATGCGAGTGTGAGTGAGTGTGTGTGAGTGTGTGTGT